TTTTTTCAATTTTTTTTTTTTTTTTTTTTTTTTTTTTTTTTTTTTTTTTTTTTAAAAAAAAATAAATGAATGAACAACTGAAATATATTATTTTCCAGTTTTACGAAAAAAAAAAATGAATAAATATATATATTATAAAGGTTTTTAATTGATTTCACTATATTTTGATAAATTAAAAATTAAAAATTGAATTAATAGTTTTTAAATCGAAATATTGATGCCCAAATTATGATACAACTTATTCTATTTACGAATAAAAAAAAACTTTGGCAGGTTACACGGATGTTTGAAAAAGTGATGTAAAGTTAATTGGTTGTCCAAAAAAAAAAAAAAAAATTTTGGTGTCACGAATATTTAATTCGGATCTGGGTCACTGCACGCTACTAATTCTTTCGTCAAACTTTTAATGGCTAATTTTTCTGGCAATGGGCAAAATGGCTATGACGACTGGGGAGGATTATATCCGCCGGAAGCACGAAATGAGAAAAATGATAGTTTTCGGGAAATGGAAGGTTGGTCGAGCCGATTTTTCGTCGATCATCCCAAAGCTTTTGAAATGAAGTTTCGGAAGTTTAATTTTCATTGATTTACGATCATCAGCCGTAATGAAGCAAATAAGTCAAGATTGGGAAGAGATGATGGCCGAAGATGTATGCAATCAAGAAGTGTTATATAAAGAAAAAAATAATAATAATTCCTATCTTAATATCCAATAATGTTTACTATACACGGGTTTTATTTTTTTTAGTTTAACCCGGTACCTCTCTCGCTACAATTACTCGACGACAGCTCGCTCGGTAAAGACTACAAGGTCTTTCAACGAACAAAGAAAAGCCTCGACAGAGCGCTTCAATTCATCGTTAATGGTGTGCGGTCACTGTCCAATGATCAAGTCTAAATAAAAACCATTTGCCCACACTTCATACTTACAATATTCTATTTTGCAGACTACTATCAGGGATTTAATAGTTCGATTGGCGCGTTCGGAGGGGTCATGCAAAATATCGGAGGTATCGTCGTTCATCGATGGGGATTCGTTTCGCTTATGTTATACTGTAACCTTCACTAAGCGACTTGGAAATGATAGATTCTCAGGAAAGGGTCCGAGAAATGAAAACGAAGTTAAAGGTATGCAAGGAGGCTTTGACATCGAAGCGATCAGATTTACTTCAGCTGTGGTTCCGTAGTCAGCAATACAAAGAGATGATTCGGATATTAGATTTGATGTAAAATATTTATTTTCCTTTTTGAGAATCAATATCATTGTTTTTTTTTTTCTAAATTCCGAATTTCTTCTCAGAGAGGAATTCAAGGGTACGCCGGAGAAATTGGAAGTGTTGTTAAGAGAAAAACATTTTCTAACGGCATCCAGGTTGTTATTGGAATCCATCCATACCTTGGAAAGAAAGGAGATGATGGGAATTGGCGCGCTTTCTGATTTACGGCGATATCTAAGAGCACAACAGAGTGTGAGTTTTCCTTTTAAAAAAAAGGAATCTCGATTTTTTTTTTTAAAAGTAAATTCTCATTCTCATGTTTCTCACGCAAATCTCTATCCAGTCTCTTCATGAACTTTTGATCGAGGAATTGCACAACCATCTATACGTAAAAAGCGCATACTGCGATAGTCGATGGGTCAAATATGCAAAAGATCAGACAGAATGTAGGAAGAATATCATAATCGATCTGAATTAATTAATGGCAACATTTTTAATTCCGTGTGACAAAGCTTTACAATTTATGGACAGTGCCATCACCACTTATGGAATGGAGTTCCGAACGAGAGATACGTAAAATGAATTTCATGTCAAACGTGAGGAACAAGAAAAGTTTGCATGGTGGGAATGAGTCGATATTAGGTTGACACTTGATATGTCGTTACACTGAACATCTTTTGTTTCTAAATCACAGTGAACACATCCTTTCCTTTAAACACACCACTAAGTCCAAAATCACCCAGGCCGTTTAACATTTCAATATTTGATGAGGAAGAAGTAGTATGTATGATAAAGGAAGATTATTTGGACATCTCGATTATAAATCTCAATATTAAAATAGAGATATCCGTTCCTTAGATTACCGAAAATCTAAATATAAACCCGGAAACGGATTCATTTTATTACATGGAGATTATACTCGAGTCTTTGGCAATTCTAGGACGATTACCTCAAGCTCTTAAGGTAATGTTTGTAGTGGAAATTTTTTTTTTTTTTTTAAAAAAAAAAAGAAGATTTATAATGCTATATGACCACGGATTACGTCACAGACGATCATTCAACGAATTCCGATAGAATTGTATCAACTTGTGGACAAGACCGTCGCCGAGGTTGAAGAAAGGTGAAGACGCACACATATACGTATATACATGTCGGCACAACAGCTATTTTGTTATTAACGTGATGATTTCTTGATTATTCAATGTCAATTATTGTAGAAACGCCCACGTGGTTTCCACCGTGAATACAAAGAAGAGTAATAATTTAATTGACATGTTTTCTCTCGAATCCCCCGAGAATGATGCGCCGATGGAGGTCTTGCGAGATCTATTATGGACACTTTATTCGAAATTGGATGCGGTATTACAAGGTCATCGATTTATTCTTGATATTGTTGAAAGGATAAGCAAGGTTGGATGAGTGGATTAAAAATAGAGTCGATTCTGAGCTGTCGCAGTAGTTTATTAATTTGATTGAGTGCTATTTTATAGCGGCCGGAATTCACCAAGATCACGCATGGTATGACTGAATATTTACCTGAATTTAAAATTTAGCGTGGTATGATTTATATGCTTTTCTAATTCCATTGCCAGAACCTCAGAAGATTCGAGTTTACCAATTCGCCGAAATATGGAAGCCCGTTCAGAGCGAAGTAATTGTGATTTAACCTATAGTTTCTGACAGATCAGTTTATCGCCTTTCTAACATTATAATCTTAGGTTCGAACGCTTTTACGTGACTATATTACCGACGATGAAAGGGAATCGATGACAATAAATGTACCTGAGGCGTCAATTCAAGATTCTATCACGGAAAAGAAACCACGTGATATCTCAAAGGTAAGTCTAATTCTTATTCGTGTTGTAATGAAAACGCGTTTTAACCTTTTTCTTTTTCAGCAACTATTTAGATTCGGGGATGTCGATGGTGCATCAAATACAGATCTTGATAAACATTATGATTCTGATATAAAATCATACCTTCAAAATTCACTCCCGGAGCTATTTTCAAAGGTCCCTGATGAAAGACAGCTGTCTGTATTTGTGGTGGACAGATTTGCAAATACGAATATAACTGCGGGACATCGACTCGTTATTAAGCCGGATGCTTTCAATGTCACAACATTGTTTAAACCTACATTAGCGTTCCTGGAGAAAGTCAAGATCATAATTCCTCCTAGGTAAGCAATAGATTTCGGAGTCAGTATGCTCATTAACCCAATTTTCAACGATGTAATCTTTTGTGATTGTGCAGTGATGACGGAACGTCGGCAGATTTTACAACATTTCTGGACGACTTTGTGGTCAACGTGTTTTTGCCTCAAATCGGAGATAAGATTTTTGACTTGTTTCAAAAAGCAACGAATGGTCAGTATTCTCCAGAGAGGTCTTTTTTCTCTTAGTCCTTCCGTTACTGAATTATTTTTGCTTTCAGATGCTGGTGCCTTTCAAGAAGATCCCAGTTATAAGAGTTTTGCCAACTTTCCCGTGGTTAAGGTCCGCTGACTTTATTTGATATCCCTCAATTATGACTTTTTAACTCCGATGAATCTTCATTTATTATTTGTGTCGTCTTTAGAGTACTTCTGCGTTAATTATGTTGGTTGAAAGTTTGTGTGTAATCTTACACACTATCTCGAGTCACCAAGAAGCATTTAGCCGAATGATCATCTCGTTGCTCACACAATATTACGTAAAATGTTTTGAACAATATCAAGGTAATATTACCATCCATTCGTATCTTTCGGCACAACTTGTGCGTTTGTCTATAAAAGATTTTTTTTTTTTTTTTTTTAATATTAGCTATCGTCACTAAAAATTCCGCCGAATCTGATGAGGTGGAAACCGGAAATCTACAAGGAGTCAGTGCGACCTGGGTGCAGCAAGATCAGCTGTCCGAAGTTCTGAGTCAGTATCCTTATCAAGTCGATGATGCCGATAAAAATCGTAAAAAACGTCGAATGCTATGCGAAAAGGTACGAGAGATCTTACTTATATTTGATATAAATAATGGTTTTTTTCACTATCATAATTACGTCTTTTTTTTTTTTTTTTTTTTTCCTAAAGGAAACCAGAGTCGAAATGAACTTGAAGAAAAATCGATTCATAAGATTCGGAGAATTAATATATGAAAGCAAGAAGTTGACATCTTTAGGATTATTATATCATAGTTTGGTAAGGGGTACGGATTGAGTGTATTCATAAACTCTTCATGCATACATACGTCTAATTTGACTAAATCAATGATGTAGAAATGGTTTAACGCAAAAATCTGGGAGATGCGGGGACGCGGCTCAAAACTTGCGGCTTCGAATGCTAATAAGATGGATGATAACGGATTGGTAATTCTTTTTTTTTTAAGGGCAATTATTGTTCGAGAATTATAGTTGAAATTCGTTGCCTAAAAATGGTAGGCAAAAATAAATAAACGTTGGTCTCAATTTGGCGGCTGGAGCGCCAAGGAAGAAGAGAAGAAAGAAGATGGAGAACAAAATAACAGTTTACCTTTAACTGGCGAGATGGCAAAGTGAGTATCCATCACGATAGTGTCGATCAAATGGCAAATTTCCTTTCCCTAATATCTTTTCGGTTAATGTTCATATAGTCGCCTCGAAGCTTTGTTAGCTACATTTCAACAATTAGCAGAACAATGTTTATTCACCTTGCGCGTGGAACTTCGTTGCCACGCGTTCCATTACGTTGATTCGGCAACACGAGAGGTAACCGAGTTCCTTTATGTTTAGCAATTCTTTGAATCGCCTTGTTAACCTTAACATTTCTTTTCAGGGAAATTACCAACTCGATTACGAAGCTTATGAACCGGACCCATATGTCGTGACATTGAATGCCGAGATGGTGAAATTTGATGAGTGTGTATCATCAAATTTACCACTATTAGAAAGAAGGTAGATTTTTTTATTTTGTTATTTCGGTTTCACGAAATCTGACACGATTGATGACGAATCAATAACTCATTTGACCACAGATTCGTGTTTGAAGGCCTCGATGCGTTGATGGAACACGTGCTGATATATAACTCTGTGTACATAAGGAACTTGAACAGCAATGGTGTCATGAAAATGACGCGCAACATCCTTGCGCTACAACAAAATTTAAGGAACATAGTTGATAGGCCTGGGGAAATTTCGATGGATCGGGCCAGACAATACTATGATCTGTTTAACATAGGGCCGGCGGTATGTTTTGTGCGCTACTTGTCGGTGTAAACCTTTGATGTTCACATTGTCTTATCAATTTTTTCATTCATTAATCGAAAATAGAACATGCTTGAACAAATAAGAGAACGTGGATCCGTGTTTTCTCTTGAAGATTATAAAACAATGTTGGAAATCATGTACAAGATTGACCCTAATGAAGTACAACAAGGGACCTCCAAACGTGACAGTCCATCAAGCAACAGAAGATTGTACAATGATCAACTTCTAGAATTGCACGAATTAATGATTGATTCACTTTAATTTCGTTCGAACACCTGTGTTAAATTCCGAGATTTAATTATTTAAACATTATTATTTAATTCAATAGACATGTATACATATTAGACACTTTGGGTTTCGATGATCACTCGTGGAATTATTAATTTATTTGGAATGCATAGGAACCGTTGGGAAATAGACAAATTGGTATCCATCAATAGCTAGTTTAAAATGAAGCTTAAATCTCTATTTAAAAGGTTCTCTGTGATTTGTATCTTTAGAAAAAAGAAAAAAAAAAAACGAAAAAAAAAAAAAATTTTTTTTTCGAATAAACAAGAGTTCTGTTCAAGTGAGAAGCACGCACTGCGGCGCGTAGCTCGAAAATATAACCAAGAAAAAAAGGGACAATCATTAATTCTGACGTACATACATGATGCCTATTTTGTGATTTTTCCGGCGATATCAATTACTCCATATTGTTCACCGGAGGCAAAGCATCTGACCTCGAAAATTGCAAATCGCCAAAATAAGAAAGACATATTTCGTTAAAAGTTCTTTTTTCGTGAAAAGTCGCTCGAGAAAAAAAATTTAAAAAATTCACATCAAACACCCTGTAGCAAATATCATGAATGATCCTATGAAAGTCGATCGGACTCTTTTTCTCAGAACTGAAGGAATCACATCAAATCTTTTCCTTCATCCTTGATATTCCCGAATTAAAATCAAACTTAAATTCCAAGAAGGGATCAAATCGTTTGTGCACGCACTCGCGCACTCGTTT